GCAGTGTTTTAGTAACACATCAGCTGAAATCACGTAGTGTTTGACATCATTCTCATACTAAACTTATCTAGCAATCGTTATTTGTCGATATTGGTCTTGTGCCTTGATGTCCAATTTAATGCAGACCTCTTACATTATGTATGGCCCAAAAATTCTTTTTTCATACCTCGATTCCCTCAAACAACAAAATTCCCAACTTACAGTCTCTCGAAGGCGCGAGCCTGAACACCGAAATACCGAATTAAATTGGTTACCAAGACGAAGTTCCGGATTGTTTCCGAAGTACAGGCAACTCGAGCTGTGTCTCAGACTCAGTTCATTTAGCTAAATGAGCTCGGAATTGCTGAGCAAATTGGAGTTCTATTTCGTGTGGATAAAGGCGAGGATAGCGGGCAGTTTGGGATGTATCTAATAATGTTTGTCTCGATCAGGTGAGAGTGATGTTTGCAAACAGGTCGAAGTGTAAGCTACACTTCAACTCCGAAACGCGGAGTGGATGGAAAAACAATTTAGGTACTGTTATGTAACTGTTTTGTTTCAGTATCTACAATCCTCCTCCACCTCCCTGACAATTTTCAGCTAAATCGGTTCAGCCGTTCTCGAGTTATAAGCGAAGTAACTAACACGACTTTCTTTTATATATGTTACGGCTAAAGATAGTTGTGAACATAAACTTAAGATTACCCGGCTAAACTTAAGTTTATCTTCGAGAAGCAGCTAAAGTTCGATACCATGTTAGTTTGCGTCGTGATATTCCATCTTTAACCGGCTAATGTGCACATTAGCCAAAACGAAACGGCTAAAAATGTATTCGATGGGCGCGCCAGGCCGGCGGAGGGCTTGAGGGGGCGGTGGGGAGACAACGCGCGCGCAGGTTTATTTTGTAATTTTAAATACCTACAGAAGATTCTGTAATGACCAAATGGTTCCATATTATTTTACTTTAATGATTAGGTAGATATTGTTTTAAATAATTAATATTTTCTTATTGTAATAATTGTAATTTTGAATACCTACCTACATAGGTAGATAAAAGTATGTGTAATGAATGAATAGTGATTATTTTTTAATATAGTTTTCGTGTCAAAATAGTAAACTTTATTACATTGTTTCCTTTTTCATTTCCTTCTACATTTTTAGCCAAGGGCCTGCGGTTACACTTAAGTTTAGCCGGCTAAAGATAGAAGAAACTAACATTAACACCTCGTCAGAGATAAACTTAAGTTTAGCCGGCTAATCTTAAGATTATGTTCACACCTATCTTTAGCCGTAACATATATATAGACTAGCTGACCCGGCGAACTTTGTTCCGCCTTAATGGCAATAAATAAGCAGACTTTTTTTTGTTTCGAACGGGATAAAAAGTATCCTATGTCCTTCTCCTGGCTCTAAACTACCTCCCTGAAAATTTTCAGCTAAATCGGTTCAGCCGTTCTCGAGTTATAAGCGAAGTAACTAACACGACTTTCTTTTATATATATAGACTAGCTGACCCGGCGAACTTTGTTCCGCCTTAATGGCAATAAATAAGCAGACTTTTTTTGTTTCGAACGGGATAAAAAGTATCCTATGTCCTTCTCCTGGCTCTAAACTACCTCCCTGACAATTTTCAGCTAAATCAGTTCAGCCGTTCTTGAGTTATAAGTGGAGTAACTAACACGACTTTCTTTTATATAATAGATGTCCCGTTACTAAGTTAAATTACTAGTGTTACGAGTGCGTTCACCACAATAGTACAGCAGCATGCGGTGGGGTTCGAACCCGCGTTCCTTGGATCTCGAGTCAGTTATATTTTAAAGTTATATCTAGTCCCTAACTAAGAAACATTTTTATGCTGGGAGGTACCAAAAATAAATAAAACTATGATCTTTTTTAATTCCGTAATCACAATTCATACATTGGCAACTAAATGCATATAGAACGTTGCATTGTATAGTTTTACAATGAATTTTTTGGCCGGTTCATTACAATGATAAAAAGCTAACATCGATTTGTCCGTAAATATTTATGACGATGTGCAGTGAAATATTTTAAAACAGCAAAATATCAACATTGTAAATAGGCCGAATAGCAAACGAAGTCGGATTCACTCCAAAACGTTATTTGCATCATATCAATGATTTAAAATATTTGAAATATTTCAAAGTGAATTATTTATGTCGGATTCCAAATCGTAAAATCAAAACTATTTTGCATTCGTCATCATAAAATTTTGTTGATTTATTTTGAAATTCCATTATAATGTTACCTTACGTGGATTACGTGGATATTGGCATGAAATGCTACCGTGCATTCCCCGGAGTCCGCGTAGAGTAATAAGCTTAAATTGTAACATATGCCAATTGAATAAGGTTTAAAATAGAATAAATAAGTTTACCTTATATTTTGTTTGAAATTGAACATCAGAAGTTTCAATTTTAATTTATGTTTGATTCAAAATCTAATTGTAATACTATTTAGATTATGTATATTTATTTATTTATTTTATTGGGCTATCAACATGAGATACAGTATTAAACACAATTAAAAAATAAACAATTAAGCCAAAGGTCTCTAGCTAACTGAAATTATATTCAAAGAACAAATAATTATTGAATTACCTATCTATATTGAAAGAAGAAAGGAAGTTCATAGTAGGTACACAAGTAGTATTACAAAGAACTACGACGTACAACGTACACAATCTCGTAGCGTCTACTGGATTGCTATACTCGTAGCAGAGTACGGAAGTCGTAGCTATAGTGCTACAGAATTTCGTAGCGTCAACTGGATTGCTGTAGCAGCGACACCGTAGCACTGTAGCAGCTTGGATTGTAGTATGAAAATGACTACATGGAATTTAGTACTTGTATAAACGCTTGACTATAATTTCTGACAATTTTGATATAAATATTAATCGTCATTATCACAATGGTTTAATTAAGAACATAGTTTATTAAGATCATTTTTTAAAAGGCAAATCAACTTTTTTGTCGTCGACAAATTCAATAAATAAAATTGCTTACCTAGACTTGACATAGGTTTTCATGATTGCATAATAACTCAAAATAATTACATTAAAATCATTTTTTAAGAGAAAAGGCAAACCAATTTTGTCGTCAATCTAGTTCAATAAATCAAATTGCTTACGTAGATTTGACATAAGTATTCATGATTTCATAATAACTCAAAATAATTACATTAGTTAAAAGTTGTTCAAAACATTGATGAACTTTATTTAATATCGCCTATCAACGTATTGAAAGAAAGAAAGAAAGAAAAATTATTTATTTGACAACAAAACAACAAAGAAACAAAGGGCCATGGACCTATAAAAAAAGGCGGACGGAACTCGCGCTACAACAAAACTGTGACGCAAAATTTTGGCGTTTGTCTATTGTGTGAGTGAATTTAGGGATGCCATGTTAGCCAAAACATTTTACCCATTTATTTTAAGAAAAACATAGATCGGCAGATGTTACTTGGAAATGTAGACAGAATTATTCCGTGCCATTTTAAAAGGATGAAAGGTGAATGCGTTGAGGTAGGCGCGAAATTTTCTATGTGCAAATTTTCTTACATTGTTTGCAAGTCAGTGTGTCAGGGTATGTATATAATGTTGATCAAAAATGATTCACGCAGTTACAAATTACGAATCTTGTGTACATTATAATCATAATCTTATGCATCATCAACATATTATTATTATCTCTGATAGATTTTTTTTAACATACAACCTGATGCATCATCAACATATTATTATTATCTCTGATAGATTTTTTTTAACATACAACCTGACACTGACTTGCAATCAATGTAAGAAAATTTGAATTTCGCAGTTCCACATTTTTCGGAAGGATCAAATTTGCCTATGAAAATATATCCCATTAAAACACAATTATTATGATAAATTATTTTATTTCCATAGTATGCGTAATAAATAACTAAAAAGTCCTAAAATTATTATTAATATCCCATATTTCGGGAAATTTTCCCACGTAAATAACTGAGAACACTGGTGTTTGACGTATTATTTTTTCGTGTGAATGACGTTTGATTTCAATTAATTTCAATATTTTGATGTCGGGAAATAAGTGATTGGATTATTATTTTGCTTGTGAAATGTGATTCCTTAATTTTTGTTTGTTCGAACAGAACGGTTTTTACACAATTTTATCACACAAGACATGTCGTATTCGTGTTGTTTTTTCGCTGCTTAAATGTGTCAACTGTGTGAAGTTTGCACTCGAAGTGGTGTATCAGGGTGTGAATGTGTGCGTGCCGGCCTGTACGTACAGGCAAGCTGGTGTATCCTAATGTCACAGTATTTTGTTGATGAGAATCCGTCCGACTTTTTTTATAGGTCCATGCAAAGGGCAATATAAAAATACAATTATAAAAAAAAGTACAAAGACAATTAAGAGAAAAGAGAAAAAAGAAAAAAGAAATGTTGCCAAAAAGGTTACCCACTCAGTATCATCTTGACAGTTGACATTTTACTGCCAAGTGCCAAGACACTGGTTTTCAGTGGGTATAGTTCCAAAATACTGGACTGTCCTGTCGATGACATTGACAGTGGGGCGCCACCGTCAATACCGGATCGCTGGTTCAGATTTTTGCCATGTTTGGAAACCATATAGTTGAAAGATGGTAGCGCCCCCCTGTCATTGAGTTTGGCGGGACAGTTCAGCGTGGGTCATCTATACCTTGTACGCAGGGGCAAAAAGAATGTAATAAATTAAAAAAAAATATATATATAAACTCAAATCAATTAAAAATCAATTAAAAATTCACATTAAAATAAAATTACAATAACAATTACAATAAAATTAACGAAAAACAATGCAATTACTAATTTCAAATAAACATGTCAAGAAGAAGAAAAAAAAAATTAAAAAATTAAAATTCACAATAAAATAAAAATTATAATAAGAATAAAAATTAACGATAAAAAAAAACAATTAATTTCAAGTAAACATGTCAAAAATAATTTAAAAATTCACATTAAAAAAAATAAATAATTAAATATGAATGCGGCCAAAGAGTCAGGTGACGGACCGTGAAAGAAGAGAAAAAAAAAAGTAACAAGAAAAAGTCACCTGACCTGACGTTCACGTTTTGTAATTAATTGTTCACGTTTGCCACGTAAATCAGCCACGCACGCACAGACAGAATGTTTTCACTTTACACAATGTACCTATAATAAATATGTGTTTATGTCTACTGTGTTAAAAAATAAATAAATACAGACAGACGGATGGATGAACTCCAACACCCAGAAGCCGTGAACTAATGGTAAGTGACTTGTTGGTTAAGTGTCGACAATCCCGCAAGCACAGTGGTAACAAATATTTTACCTATTTGCCTATTTGCAGGGCACTCATCAGGGAAAAAGACGAAAAATCTCAATGTCATGGCAGTTCCTCGCAGCCACCAAAAATCGTTCGAGCATCCCAGAGCCGAATCCAAAAGGGGAACCACGATGAGCAGCGTTCTCAATGCCGGAACGGCACCTCAATACCCGCATATACGACGTGCATACTCTGATGGTACGTCTATCAACAAGTTTCATTTTGCCTAGACAGTAAGTATTTCTTTACATGTATTTTGAAAGAGTGTTTTACTTTGTATTAGTTTTTATGTCCATAAATAACATTCGTGACTAATAATAGAAAGGCTTAATTTAAAATACTACCACGCATTGTATTCTGAAATAGCTTAATAGCTGGTGGTAGGTTGATTGTGCGCCATTTTATCATTTCAGTGGTCATAATATGATTGAATTACTTTCATGCTAAATGGGCAGGTCACGTGACTCACATACGGATGTAGAGATTGTAAAACAAATATTACTGCAAGCTACATTTATTTTTTTAATAGTAGTCTTTTTTTATGCATAACAAGGCAGGTATTTGACTGCAATCGCGCCTGGTGTTAAGTGAGATGCAGTCTAGGATGGTGGTACATATTATCTGCCCTGTAAGTGCTTATTCACTCTCGCCTTAAGTCATTATTGTTTTTATTTTTCTTTTTATATTCTACACCAGACAGTTCCGGAACAGTCAATGTGGAAACCCTTTGAGAAAGTCTTTGTCCAGCAGTGGATGTCTTTTGCATGAAACTATGACGGCAACATACAATTTAATACTTTTGTTCGTTGTTAAGTAAAAATCGTTAAAGATAGGTGATCAGTATGGACAGTGAAATATTTTTTTTGAGTTACGGAACTCAACTTAACATAAACTATTCGGTACTTTAACTATTATTGATATTTATAGAAAGAAGCTGAAAATCCGAAACTAAGAAGTCAGTAAGAAGACGCTGTATGCCGATAAGTTTGTTTATTACCGCAAACTAGATAGATTATGTAAATCTTCATGCAACATGCATGATCGCCCACATCTTCACTGATACTCTCAATTCTTGTTAGCTGCTTAAATAGAGATTTTAAAACGTTATTATGTTGATCAAAGTAAAACAAATTTTACTTAGAAACAACGAAGAAAGCCAAGCTATAAGTATGTACCTACTACTAGTATACCTATACCAGTGCTAATTGTTGACACACTTGTCAAAAACTTATTGAGCAATATCTTAGCTTCTACAAAATGTGTACTCGTGATAGTGCTGTCGATAGTACCTTTTTTTTTATTCTTTTAACGTCAGCAAATGCTTTTCGCATACCCACTGGTCGATGGGGACGGCCAGTGGGTTATGGGACTCTCCCAGCCAGCTCACTAAAGGCGGGGCCTACCCACTAAAACCCGATGGTGTCCACCAGAGCTCAAAGAAACGGAGCCTCGAGATAGCTCGGACATTCGTCCACAGCTCCGCCACGTGGCCCTGGTACAAAAGGACCTCCGTAGTGTGTTACGGTCTGCTCCATGCCGCTGCTCAGTCAGCTCTGTTGATCAGAGAAGTACCGAGAGCGGCCCTCCAAAGAATGGGCCCGGGCAAACGCTCCACCAGCCTCCACCTGTGGGAATTGGTATACTTTTTTTTGCGAACCTATAAGCTGCGATGCTATGCTTTCGTTTGCACACAAAAGTCTTTGTCCTTTGTGTACTATGCTTGCCATCCTTCAATCCCGAGTGTCCCACAACGTATAATAGTGGGGGACGCATAATTAAATAATCCTATGTGTCCTGAAAGCGGTGAAAAGCGCGAACAGAGTGAGTTTAATAGTGTTTCCGTTTTGAAATTAGCATAGTTGAATTTTGATTAGTCGTATAACAGTGTTCAACTTTTGGCTGCTCGTTCCCATTAAATTTTCGTTAATGACGCATTAATGGACGAACCCTGCCCGTTATGCGTTAAATAGGGCTTCTGAATTAAACAGGCGATTGTAGGTTTTGTAGTTGTTTTTGACTGCCAGTATTCTCGGTGCTTGAAGAGTACTTGTATTTAATTTTGTTGCCGCAGAATAATATACGAGTACGAGTATGTCATGGAAATGCATGAAATTATTAAAGTAAAAAGGTTTTTTGTTTTGGATTATGTACGTTTATATCAAAGGCTTTAAATAACGTATAAAATATTATGTTAAAGTATTCAAGACTGAACATGTATTTGTGTACTGTTGTATAAAATGATTGTCTAAAAGCACTTGGACTCGTAGAGTCCAAAAGATAAGGCAACGTGCACATGAGGTGCGATTATGTTAAAAAAACTTTTTTTTATATGTTGGAATTAATCAAATTAAATAAAAGAAAGCTTTTTTTAAATGTTGGAATTAATCCAATACGAAATCGTCTCAGTAGAGTTTATGTAGATAAATGTGGGATATTTATTCACTTGACGACTGTCTGGAAAATTATTTAATTCCTACGAGTAGGAACAAAGAAAAATAAAAAGAAGTTGTAAGAACACAGTAAGTAACTATGCTTTCTAAATTGTGCCGTTAAATTTTTTGTCTCTGTCAGTTTCGTCTGGTTTGAAATAAATAGTATTTATTATATTTTACTAAAAGTTGGTAAATACGAGTATGTACACGTGTGAAATCCTCGTGTTATATCAAGCAGTACAAAATCCCAAACACGAAATTATCAAAGACATTTCATTACACAGCCCTGATTGCGGACCCACCTCAACCCCGGTCTTGCGATCAGCCTCGTTTACCTCTTTATAATATTTGCGACAACACATTGCGTAGTGATGTGCTTATGCTTGTATAATATAACATCGATTGTCGATAAACACGCGGAATCAACAAATATATTTTACATAGGCCCAGATTGCAGACCCACCTCAACTTAAATTAAACATAAAAATAGATAATAGACCGAATAAAAGATTTCTTGAATTAGAATTTACCAGTTTCCACGCTAGTAATAAATAGAAAATAAAAAGAGCTATTTGTTTTAAAAAACTCTTACTCTTACACGAAAAATATCGTAAAATAAAAATACTTTCTACTATAGAAAGAACTATCTAAATTAAGTAAGCAAATAAACAAAACTGTTCTCATGCACTTATATCAAAAAGGTTACCGTTGTTTTCCTACAACATCCAAACAAAGTTTTTTACCCCAAACAAGAAAAACCGGCAACTACTTAAAATTCGACAGTCCCAAACACATCCCTATTCGGGTCGAATTTAATAAATCTTACCGATGTTTCCGCCCTGTGAATGGGCCGGAAACACAGTAGAACTCCTGTTTTCATAACGCACACCCTTAAAGGATAAAATGAAATATTTCCGCGGGCATAGCATTCTCATTGGAACTAAGCGCCGCTAAATTTGGCGCGTGATTTTGGGTTGGTAGGTTTTACGCCCTGGCGGTTTTGGTTTGAAAGGTGAAGGTTTTGTTTCAAAGACGTGGGTCTCCATCCCTTACAGTTGACGTCCTGTGATAGGTACAGTCAGTTACACAAGAAATTCATGTATAACCTTATCCACATCGTACTGTAGGTATCTGAGCGAATACCATTTTGGTGACTCAATAATTGTATAAAATTTTCTTTTGTTGTTTTGTACTGTATTTTTCTGGTACCTACCACCTACTGGTGGATTAAAACTAGTGGCTATTTCTGAACTTGTTTTATTTAAGAGCTCAATACAGTCGATGTCACTTAACTTTTTTGTGGGAATGTAGCACCTATTACAGCCAACTAATATTTTCCTTGAATTTGCTGTCTTCTGTATCATTCGTTCCCTTCTCATCAATACGCGGACATATCTCAGACAAAAAAAAATGCAAGCTATAAAACCAATCTAAAATCCGGACGTATTTGCTGGCAAGATTGTTGTATTCCACTGGCTACAGAATACGCTACGAACACCCGCCATTCCCGGATGTAATATTTATCGTCCATGCATTTTATGGGCGTGAATAAACAGGCGTGCATTCTGGACGCTATATACCTTTTATTAAAATGATGTAATTGCTCTGTTGTTACTTTTCTACATTGCTACGTCACTTCGGTGGATTTTATGTTCGGTTGAAGCACGGTAATGCAGTTATCTATACAGTATTGTAACTTTATATTATTACTAGCTTTCCGCCCGCGGCTTCGCCCGCGTGGAATTTTGTCTGTCACAGAAAAACTTTAGCGCGCGTCCCTGTTTCAAAAACCGGGATAAAAACTATCCTATGTCCTTTCCCGGGACTCAAACAATCTCTATACCAAATTTCATCAAAATCGGTTCTGTGGTTTAAGCGTGAAAGCGTGGCAGATAGACAGAGAGACAGACAGAGTTACTTTCGCATTTATAATACTAGTATAGATGAATAGACGAAGCGCGAGCTTTTCGTTAGTTTAGATTTCGAGAGTTCTATTCGTTTTTATTGGGACACGGGTGTTTCCATTATGTTAAACTAGCTTTCCGCCCGCGGCTTCGCCCGCGTGGAATTTTGTCTGTCACAGAAAAACTTTATCGCGCGCGACCCTGTTTCAAAAACCGGGATAAAAACTATCCTATGTTCTTTCCCGGGACTCAAACTATCTCTATGCCAAATTTCATCAAAATCGGTTGCGAGGTTTAAGCGGGAAAGCGTAACAGACAGACAGACAGACAGACAGACAGACAGACAGACAGACAGACAGAGTTACTTTCGCATTTATAATATTAGTTGGGATTGATGTATTTACAGAAGAATATTTAAGTATATGCCAATTAGCTATTATTTCTCTAGCTGGTTTCTCGCTCGGTGTAAAATGAACAAATTCAGAATTTTTACCGTGTCTTCAGTCAAATTGTGGCTATAAATCGATGTTTACTGTAAGTTAAGTTTTAATGTTGATGTGACTTTTCAAAATTAATTTAAACTTCTCACTTAAAATGTTTACTTATGTCACTTAGCCCTTTCAGCAAACTCGTGACACAAAAGTGACCTTAAACTTAAAGGGTAGAATTTAAAATCCCACACTGGTCATCAGACGGTGCGAATGTCTTAGATAATTCCCCGGCGTCTTAATTTGGCTCTGTAATTAA